TATATATATATATATATATATATATATACTGGGTATATTACATAAAAATTTATATAGGAGTCAAGAAAACCAGCTGCATGCTCAGGGGAGGTGGAAAGAAGCATAAACCCCACTGTCTCGGGGCTCTGACACACCGGCACTGCCTGCGACTGAGCCGGTGTTGGAGGGCCACCTCTGCTGTACGAACGGTGACGGCTGGCAAACAGGGTTAAACTATTCCCACAAAATCGGTGTGAGCCCATCTGTCACAGCTCATAGACAATTTTTCATTCACTTAGACTGGGGTACACTGGCAGGGGATGTTCAAGCCCGGCATTTGCGTATGCGTTTGGGTGCACATGCCTGCATTCCTCTCCATCAGGTTATTATATTTGTTGAAAGAGCATGAACGGCTATTCCTCTGGCGGAGTGGCATTCTTCCCCAACAGCACCTAGGACATTAACAGCCTTGGGCTGATTTTATTCAACTGTAAATGCTTCTCCCTAGGGAGCTTTATTTTAAAGGATGAACATACAGTTCTTTTCCTGATACCCTTCTATCCCATGGTATATACACATAGCCCCTTATTCCAGTGCAAGTTTCCTGAATTGGAGGAAGAAACACCCTGAAACACATTTCTTCCAGAAAAATATTTTACTCCCAAGCATCAGGTTTTTAAATTTAAGGCTGTAAATATATGTACGATCTGGATTTCTTACTAGAATGATTAATTTCAGTGCTTGTAAAAGGATTATCTTTTAAAAGTAACTGATACTTTTAAGCATATCTGCAAGACCAGACTCATGAGGTCTGTTTTATAGAGTCCATTCCTCACAAGACTGTACAATTTACCGAGCCAGAGAAAGAGATGATTCCAACAGGCACTAAAGTATTTATATAGCTGCTGATGAGAAAAGTGTACATCAAACTCAAGACTCTCTCTCCCCAGAGTGCTTACGATAAAAGGCAATATCCTGAAGCAAGTATTTCTAGATGCCAAAATGATGTTCCAGTGTTGCTGTTTGCAATATACTCACTTTTAATGTTGATGGTACCTCCCCAAATGAACATTTATGTTTTGGATGCATGGTATGATTACAGATATAAAAAGTAAGCATGAGACTATTATTTTACAGCACAAAAAAAAGTTGCCTGCTGTACTTAGAAGCCTGGGGGCCAGTTACTATTGGATTTTTTTTGTGTTAATCGTAAGACAACAATGAGCACTGTAAACAAAAGACCCTTTTCCTTGCTCTGTAAAGATGTAAGAACAGCTAGCTCAGATGATTTAACTCTGAGATGATTTTCACCTCATGATCTCTGTCTTAAACCTAGAGAGAAATGTAAGCATCTCTTTGCATATGTACCATATATTAAAGGAACAGCTGCACTGCAAAACCCAACAGGTGCTAGCAGAAAGCACCACCTCTGCTAATAAACACTTGGATTAGCAGTTTCCTCAGCATGATTAAGCATTCTTTGGACTGAAAGGGCCTGGAGATGTTGCTACCTACGGAGGTGACCTGTCTTGAAAGGGGCAAAACACATTCTTGATCTGCCTGTAGCAACAGGATTTGACTTCCCAGTTGGGTTCTCCTTTCAAGACATCACTTTCTTTCCCTTAAGAGCTAGAATCCATATGCGCTATTGAATCATTGAAAATGTTAATGTTTGACCCTTTTTAAATTGCATATATGTGCCGCTATTGAGCTGCTTACCCTCCATGATCGCCCTTGTCTTCGCTCTCTAACCATCACGGAATTTGTATAAACATAATTTTCTTATAAATAAATATATATGGCTGTGAAAGTTTGCTTAATGACTTTTACATGAATTACCCCAAAGTCACAGTGATTCTTACCATATGAATTCTAAATAACATTTAAAATATGTTTTGCTAATGATGAAATCACTTCAGTAACCATAATGAAATCACCTCTAAATATAGTCTTTTATAACTAACTCCAAAATACATTGGCATATGACCAAAGTCCGTAATTACAAATTTAAAATTGAGGCTATATTGTAATAAACTTACTAAAAAAGCACAAAATATTAAACTGCTAAACCACAATATTTTTTAAAGAGCCTATATCCACCTTTCAAAACTGATTTAGGATTAGAAGGCAAAATGGCCAAATACCTATAGAATACACTTAACCATGCCAAAGCTCAGGTCTGATAACTTGGAGGTGCCCATTCCAGTTCCCCAGTCCTGTCCCTATTTAGAAATCAAGACATTCATTGCCTAAATTGCCAGAGAGGCTTGATTTGATTGGTTGTTTTTTTGCCTCTGGGTCTTTGGTGCTTGTTATGAGATTTTTCACAAGCACACAGACCAGCTTTCATTAAAATCAATGGGAATTAGGCCCCACCAGATTTCCCACTTTTTGATTCCTAGAGTCCACGGATACCTGTTCATGCTGTGGGGCATGAAGAAACTCCTAAATGGACTATTCATGGATCCAAGTCACTATTCCTACTGCCTCACCTTGTCTAGTTTTATTATCTCTGTCAGTACAAAGTCAATAAAAAACAAGCTTTAGTTAAAATGTTGGCCTTGGCTCCTGGGCTTAGTACAGTTGCTATCAAAATCCAAGACACAGAGTCTCAAAACCCGTACCATGGTCTCATCTAATCAAGAAGTGTCTGTGTGTCCCTATTGCCTGAGTTTTCCCTGGCAATGTCTTTGGGCTCCAAATTTGGCCCAAGCTATTTAAACTCTCATAGTAGCCAGGCACCTAACTCCTGCCTAGACCTCTTTTACAAGCCACAAAAGGATGTATTCCCAGACTGTTTTAAATATAGTCATTCAAACTGGGAGGCTCCTGAGAGTATATTTTCCATACTCAGCTCCATCCAGAAAAGCTATTGTCTTGCTTAACATCTCCACAATCACAGAGCTACCCAGGGCATGTGGGAAGCCAACATGCAGTTCTTTTCTCTTCTGAGGATATTTAAACCAATGAATCTTGCTCTACCAATGAATGTTCTAACAAGTGAGCAGAAGAACAAAATAGTTTAATGCTAACGGTAAAGGCTTAACAGAAATTGAGGAGGCCTGTACCAACTGATCTTTATGTGGTTTATATTACCTAGATCACACACATAGACCAAAGCCTCTCCCTTTCCAAGCAAACCACCTAGCTAACAGATAGGGTCTGTGGCCAACTGTATACTTATTATTTATGCTGCAATGAGTGTTGCACGCCCAAGACAAGCCAGAGGCACAGGCGATATGAATACTTGCCTAAGACATTGAAGATAGAGGTTCAAATTCACGTAGGGAGGGGAGTGAATGGATGTGGGTTTCCTACATGCCTCCTGAGGTGGTTAAGACCTCCTCTCTTGTGAGAAAAGGTTACTTAACATCCGAAGACGTTAAATCTTACTCTCATGAGTGAGAGATGATATGCCTCCCAGTAGTCCAAAGGTAGGTAACTGAGTCCCTGAAAAAAATGATATGATGGCTTGTCCTGCTATTTTACACTGCTAATATAGTTGACTCCCAGCTCACTGTGCTGACTTCTGAGGTCCCTAATTTTAGGCACTGAATTCTCCAGGAGTAGCACCTGTGCAATTGCTGGAACTCCCTTGAGAGGCCAAGAAATCAGGCACTGCAGTACTGACTCCTGAGATTCTCAAATGTCTTTTTCTAAGGAGCATGGGAATCACCAAAAAAGTTTTCATGTTGTGGTGAATAACTGAAAAAAACTAATTATTTGAATCATTTGAATTATTCATAATACAAATTATGTGTTTTGCTTAAGAGGGATACTGCAGTACTTTCAACAAACAGGACTGATAGATGCACAGGGCACACCAATGTGACTGACGATGCCAATGTATTATTTCAAATAATTTGGGAAAAATTGCTATATATGCCCTTTCTTTTATCCCTATACTTTTTTTACTGGCACATTCCTTTGCTGTCTCCCTGTAGATTTTTTTTTTTTTTCAGAACCCATTTCTGTTAACAGAAAATGTCAGTTATACATTTCTCACTGAGCAATCAAAGCTTCGTAAGTACTGTGCATTTTATCATTTCTCTCTTGAAGCAGTCACACTCATCTAATGTAGCACAGGGCTGGCACCTAGGTGCTAATGAAGGCATGCACACGTGATAATTAACAAGATTCCTGTTAAATATTTATAAGGGCTGAGAAATGGAATGCAGAGGGAAGACAAAACACTGTTTGACATTACCTGAATTTGCTCGAATGGTACTTCAAAGCTGAAAGATTCGTTGTAGTAGGGATTCAGAGTGTTCTTTTTAATTGTAGTCTTTTTCTTCTTCAGTCTCTTACCATTCTGCATCAGATGGATCTTCACATAGGGATCTAGGTAATCAAGAGAAGAAGTAGAGATAAGAAGGGTGGTTCAGTGTGTAATCTACAGATTTTAATTCCACAAATTTAAGATGCGATGAAAAAAAAGAAAAACCTTTAGCAACAGCTTGCATTTAAATGAAGTCCTAATTTCCACCGTAGAAAAACAACTGTGCAAATGCAAAATATTCCAGATGGAAAAACGTGCAAAACATTTATTGCATTATGTCCTCAACACTGCGAAGGAGGAGTGAATCCCACCTCACTTTGTTATGTAGCTCATTAACCATCCTGAAATCATTTTTACTTTAACATTATTTATTTACTGCCATCATTTCTTGGCAACGGGGCTGTGAGGTGGTTTTCCCAAGAACCATGAGTGCTGCCAAATGCCCACATGGCGGGCACAGGGCAAGGCTGGCTGGCTGCCTTGCAACCGCCCGGCAGCTCCTCACATCGCTCCTCGGGCGGGAGCTGCACTGTGGTGTTCCCGTCCCCTGACCTCCCCATCGGGCTGCGACTGACACAGCGCGGTGTCTGTGGGTCTGGCTCATGGGCAGATTGCATGGCAGGAAGAGGCTTTGCCCTTTAAATACCAGTCCTCTACCTTAGTGCTACATGCAGGTAGAGTAAGGTGCAGGCCAGCGTATCAGTATAAATTATGAATTGTTTTTGCTACTCTCTATTGAATTCCCATTGTTATTTTGTACGACTTCTGGTGGCTAAGGAACAGAAGTGATTTGGTACCTAAACAGGTATTCCTCACACAAGCAAAATTCTCATGGATGTTACCATCGTGAAGTAGCATCTCAGTGGTGATACTTTCAACAGAAATTTTGCCTGCTTAAAAGAACAGCACTATCAGTCTTTAATCTATTACAAAAGCCATGTTCCTGTTCACAGAATGAACTAGCAGTTCTTCTTTCAAGGTGGTATTAATTAGCAGCACCTTCACTGAGCTCAAGTTATTTTTCTGTTCAGGCCTACTGTGAAGCACCATTTGAAGCATCTCAAGCTCAGCCTTTTCAACAACCTGTACAGTACTGTCATCAAAATTTGGGTAGGTACCTCCCTTGGCTTTAGGCAGCTCAACTATGATGTAGGTTGAGGTAAGCCTTCCCTCTAGCAAGCTTGCAGGACATATACAAAGCACCAGCCAGCCACAAGTCATCTGTGGCATAAATTAAGGGAGCCTGAACTATCAAAGGACAGGGCTTCTCCTTTCCTTTCTGAGAAAAGTATGGGGCTATAGAAGAATGTCAAATTAACACTGAAATTAAGTATTATCACTATGAGCAAACCATGCTTTATGACTCCATGCTCGGAGCGTCTGAGAGGAGTAACTGCATTCTGCTACAGTCAAAATATGCTTTACTGTGCAAGACTCAAGAATTTGGGACAGTTAAGTTACTGGATTGACTTGATCACAGTCTACAGTACCTCTGAAGGGAGCATAATTTTGGTAGTGGACTCTTCAAGCCAGCAGACTTGAAGAGTATAGTAAGATCCAATGGCTGTGAGAAGGAACTAGACAAATTCTGCCTTGGAAATAGGCATATACTTCAGTAGTAAGACTACTGAGACAGCCGGAGTAGCTCCTCAGTGTTTCTGGTGAACTTTCTGTTACAGAAGGTTAAGACTCCTTCTCCCTCAAAAGACTCAAGTTCAAATAGAAATTAAATCTGGGTAGGTTTACGCTCGAGGCTAGACAGGGGATTGCAAGGGTTCCGTTTGGCTGCACAATGTATGAATTAAGGAGTATCATGTGAAGAGCAGAAATGCTAGCAAAAAGCCAACAGAGTTCTATTTATTTTTGAATAGTGAGTTCAACATCACTGCATACAGGGTTTTGAAGGTGGAAAACAGGTAAATCTGGACTCCTTCAAAATTAGGTGATGCTTGAGAAAAGCTCATGTACCTTATTACTTTTGCTGAGGCTCCAAGATGAATGCACAATTGTTTTGACAGGCAAGATGATGTTTTAGGTATAGCTAATACATAGTAAGAAAGTTCAGTAGTCAAGGAGCCAGTGGTAGAGTGTTAAGATATGGAAATGAGATAAAATGCTGTTAAAATATAATTTGAGTAACTAGAGTGAGCTGGGAGGCTAAATAGTGCAGTAATAAGTTATTATTAAGGAGATTAGAACTGAAGAATTCTATTAAACTAAATGTACATGATAAGTCAATCCTTTTACCGACCTGTGCTTATACACAGATCTGATGATTATTCATATGCCTATAAGGAATTGTATAGCAATGATTTATATAGTGATGCAGATATATTCCTATCTGATAAACATTCCACATTTTAGAGAAAAATATTTTAAACCTAGAATTCAAGCGTATGTGAATGCTCAGGGTCTACGTGTACAATCACTTAAGTGATTTGCTTCTATTAACTTTCTAGATTTTTTATCTAGAGTATTAGAGCAAAATCTGACCCTGGATAACTCATGGTCATGGGACAAGCCAACAAGCTAGGTTTGTGTGGTTTCTTTTTCATGTCCTGATCAGCTTCTTATGTTTGTCTGTCTGGGGATTTGAAATAGGCTCAGTCAAACACCAGGTTTTTAGTAGGAAAGATCCCAGTGGTACCAGATTGCCATAGTCGTACAGAACTGTCAGTGGCAGAGGTCCCAAATGGAGCACAGAAAAGGATACACCATATGATACAATAGCCCAAGTTTTTTTCACCCAGGGGTAACATTGTCATGCCAAACCAAATAAAAATTGAATATCATGTAATATTCCTTCTTTTCTAGTTTCTGAGGGAAGTATTAAATAAGTTTACTCATCACAAAACCACTGCAAATCAGAATGAGATGTCCACCTCAAGTAAGTGGAGGGGCCATCAGAGATTTTAACTGAGTTTCTCCTCATTGGATTGTATATCCCCTTTCTATTTCTTAAAGTATCCTGGTCTACCTAGTTCTCCCCTCTCTTCATTCTTCCGTGTCTCATATATGACTCTCTCCATCACTGCATTATCTCCAGTTACACTCTCCCATATCCCATGACAATATCCTTAACTCCTTCTACTCTCCAGTAATCTATTTGTTTGTGATTCACACAGACAACCTGATAGCTAAGCATAGACTTTTCTTGCAACTTCATGAATAAATCTCTGAAAAAGATAGATTCTGTTCCACCAAATAACAGAAGCTAAACTGCTTGGAGTCAATTGTTAGAAGAAGGGAGGATAATCAAAAGGAAGCAGAACATCTGGGAAGTGCCAGTCTCCAGTGATTTCTCTGAGATAAGGTTTAGTGCTAATGGAAACATCTCTTCTCTCTACTTGCAACATAACCTCAGTGCTGGCACCATTACTCATGCTGAGTAACACTTTAATATGTAAATAGTCTCACTGAGTAAGTGGGACCAGTAAGGATGACAGAACTGATATTACAGCTCAGCAATAATAAATTGTCTCTTAAGTGCATAGCATGGGCATAAAGGGCAGGATTATTTTGACTAAGTAGAAACATCTACATCTGATGCCAATGAAAATAAATAAGCATTTCTCTTTATGTACTCTGGATAGTTATCTCATTCCAGAGTAAATATTTGTCTTTGGTCAAATAATTGCACTCCAAAACATTTCTTTCTCTACTGATACAAGACAGTCTATTTTCTTTCATGTAAGCAGTTACACTGAAGAAATTTCAAGTTAAAGAGGTGAACATCACCCTGTTTTTTCCTCCAGTTTTATTCCTTTCAAGTAAACAGGGATTTAGATCCACATTACATGATAGATGAGCTTTGCCCATCTATCTGGAAGAAGGTATGTTGTCCCCAGAGCACTATGGACGTCCCTCTGGCAAAGGGGACAGACAAAATTGCTGTGTGTCCCTTGCTTAATAATTCCTGTTAAGCAATGTGTGAGATTAAATAAAATTCTGCTATTTATTCCCTCATTAACAGTCTAGCCATGAATGCTAAAAAGACATAAAATTCATAACTAATTGTTCATTGTAGATTGTACAACAGTGTCTCAAGGGAGGTTAGCTGAACTGCTTTAAAAGCACTAGGGGACTAGCTGACACATTTTATTTTCCTGAAGTTTGCAGTAAGATGCCAATACATTATTTAAAGGATAACTGAAATGGTAGGCAACAGCAGGTAGACTTCTGGAGTCATTTGGACTGTGAGACATATATCTATATATATATACACACAAATCAGAACCCTCTTAAAATAATGACTACATTATCATTACATTGTGGACAAGATGCACTTCATTATTAGAGGTTTTTAAAAAAGCAGATTTAAAGCTGAAAGAAAATACTACAACTCAAAAGAAAAGAATCATGGCTAATGACAATATCTGAGGAAAAAGTGTAACTTGAGAATGACTGCTTGTCAGTGGATTTTAAGATGAAAAATTTGTTTCAGGGATCAGCAGTTAATGAAAAATTGTTTTCCACCTAGGTAGGAGAGAGTTCAGCACACAAATTTCCAACTGTATGGATCTTCAGCAGAAATGTATCACCATAGTACTCAGCTCAGAATGGTTTTACTACAGTGGTTTATTCCGAACGCAAATATAAGGATCGTGCTTGTCTTTGATAAATATTTGTAAGGCTTCTGTAATCTAATCAAAATATGAAAAGCAAGTGCCTAGAAAGTTGACAAATTTGAAAAATGATACATAGATAACACTGGACTTGACTGGGTGAGCAATTACAGTCCTAAGTCTTTGTGTGGGGAGTCTAACGGCTTAAAGAAAAAAAAGAATCCCACACAGCTCTGTGCAGTGGGATCACAGAAAACCCTCTACATGCCTTGAGTAAGCCTAACATCATTAATAGGAAAAACACTGATCTAGAAGAAACTTGTCACAGATACAGCTGAATAAAGTTTCATATGATAAAACACTGTAATAAGAAGATGTTCTCAACTCAAATGTAGAAACCGAGAAGAAATAGAGTGACAGAATTGCCTCTAGCTGTATTTTTGTCTTCAAAATGTTCAGGATAACTGGGTGCTAATTAGCACTTTTTTTTCCCCATT